TGGCGTTCAATTCCACTTGAGTATATTCAAAATTTGGTTGAAAGTATGCCCCGTCGCATTCAAGCATGTATAGCAGCCGAAGGTGGTTCAACAAAGTATTAGTTTTTATTTTTTTTTTAATAAAATATATAGGAAATGTTCGGAACAAATAAATTTTTTGCTTATTCTAAAAAAAAAGTTAATATAATAAGTATATTCAAATATTTTAATTAATCGTTCGGGTATCCGTGATCACCCTCTGTATATATTGTAATCTCGAATATTGTTGCATTGCTGCATTTGGTATTTTATGTATATTTTCAACACATACATCGAAAGTTAATCAAATTAGAATTAGAATGGATTTAAAAAATTTTTTTTCCTCAATTTAAAAAGCGAAGGATCAAAATCGTTTTTTTTAATTTTTTTTTGGGAAAATTTGTAAAAAAAAAAAATGATTATTAAAGAAAGGTTTTTTATTGTCAATAACACGTGATATATACATTCAATTTTTTTTTATCACGGGAGTTAGTTATTTATCGCTCAATCGTCGGATATCACAGGTATTACGGCTCCGTTGCGATCCCTAATCGGTAAATAATCCGTGACGTCCAATTGGACATATATATATTCCAATTGTTGTATTATGGTTAGGATAAAGAGTTTTGTTGTCGATTCTAACATCCTAATTGAGAATCTTTTTCATCTGATTTTTATTTGGATATATCTATTGAGGAATGTTAAAAAGAAACTAGACATTATTTCAATCTAGTTTAACGCTGCCATTCAACATTACATTCTCGATTAGGATGGCAATGTATAAATTTGTCATACTCACATTGTTAGATAATCAATTTGAAAAGGTAACAAACAATTGAAATGCGATTAATTTTATCGGATCCAATATGATGATTATTATAATATTGATGATGCTAATTTTGATTATTTGAATTTTATGACTTTAACGTTCGGAGTATTTCTCCGTCCATCCATCTAACGGAATCATTTCTCCCGTGAAGATCATAACCCAATATTGATTATTATTTAACTGATGTAGATAGATCTTCATGCAAAATTTACGATTTGGATTTGATGCTAACATTTTTGATTTTTTCCGCTTCACGTCGTTGATTGTTAAAAAACTTTGTGAAATAAACTAGAAAGGCTTGATGCATTATTTTCCAAATTATTTCTTTAATAATATTAAAACCCAAGCATTTCTGTTTACTTCGAATTAGGAAACATAAACAATGGCATATCTTTTATATAAAAACGCGAAATTATTGAAATGATATTATTATTCAAATTCATCGCTATGTATTCAAACAAAATGAATTCTTCTCAATTTCAAATTCATATTCAATTACAAATTCAAACAGGATTTAATAATTATCGCTATATTTATAGCAACATCACATTCGACATTTTAACGGATATAAAAATACGTCCCAACATGCTTCAAGTATTAAATCCACTTACTATGTTATTAAATATGAATGGTATTGATCTTAACATCTTTAATATGATACAACCAGCACTAAGTTCTTCCTCGTCAAACCGGGAGTTCTATTATAGCAATGACGTTCACATGTTTCATATCACTTGTGAAGAAAGTCTTCCCGATTACAATGCACGTCAAAATCAAAAGATTTATAAAGTAACTTGCAAAACCATTCCGATTTCTTTGGTTGCTAATAATTTGTTAAAAAGACCTTATACCATTAAATTTTCTGACGCCTACAATCAATACGCAATTAATTACAACCAAACGGAAGATAAAGGCACTAATTGTCGCATTGTAGTTGAAAATTTTGATCAAAGTAAATTAACGCGACGCTTTTTGTGTAATAAACCGGCTTGTATCATTGGTTAATTTAATCT